CGAGTGAATCTCTCGTTTATGATATTCTACAACTGAATGTGCTGCACATAGGCCGCCCCGAGTTTCAGTTGGCATGATATTCGAGATGACACAATGTGGAGTTTTCAGCAACCTTGTGAGTAGTTTCCTTTATGAAGAACTATTCTCCATTTATCTTCACGACCTCGTACAAAAGGAGCTGTCACCGAGGTTAGCCTTTCCGGGAATCGTTCTCTTCATTGAATAGGAGTTGATTTCTCATTTGACGTCATTTCGATGTGATGAAAACGTATGTTTAGTGATTCCATTTTCCGCTAAGGAAAGCTGTAGACCACTTTCACGCTAGTTGTCAGGCAGATAACGAACTCCCCGCCCTATATACATTTTCATTCTTTACAACCAGCAAACGGAGTGAAAATTTGAAAACCGGTCCACTTCGATTGTCCCATTCCGGGACAGAAACACGTCGAGATAGCGCCGCCGATCTGTTTGACGGCTCGAATCTCACCTCATCAGACACGGAGAACGAACCGGATATGGAGGAAATGTTGGCGGATGGAGTAGAGGAACGAAGCAGCAGAAATGGCACCCAGTCGATGGTGGTAGACTACGCCGAACAACACCGGTTTCACAAAGACTCAAAACAGTCAGTCAAACGTGAGTTGTCGTGTTCGCTTACTTGTCTCCCCCACCCTCCCCGCCCGGTTCCACCCTAACCAAACCTAGCCATCCATTTCCTGCTTAGATGATCAAAGAGACAAGAACAGCAGTTATTCGTGTGACGAATGTTCTGATAGTGGGAAAGTACACGCTCACACACGCGCATATTGCCCTCAAACATGCGGGTGCGATGTTGGGGCGTAATTAACGCCACCGCCGCCGGGAGACGGAACCGTGACCTCGTGCGTGTATGTGTTGCCACTTAGCCATTATGGTTCTGAATCGGGCAAAAATTGGCGTATGGGCGTGAGATGCTACCTGTGTTCTCCACGTCACTGATCAACAACACAGATCGTCTGAATGAGATAAACGGCACCCAGGGCAACCGCATGCCGGAAACCGTCGGCAGCACGCAATCGAATCGGCTTGAGTCAGCCGGACTGAACAGTAGACAGAGCTACTGATCACATCCACGTTCTTCCAAATCACTTTGATCTATGTTATCATCAGTGAAATTGACCGAATTATCGATCACCTGCTGAGCTTTGTCAGCGGTACGGTTGGATGACCACAGACAAAGGTAACGAACCCCTGTGGTGGTCAAAGGGGCTAGGTGACGGCTACAATATGTTGTTCATGGTCTGTCAGCTCAAAACCGTATGATGGACAGCGCTACCGTGCTTAAGTGTGTGTGTGTGTGTAAATGGATGGTGAAAGGGTGTTGTCAACAACCCCTTGAACAATGACTTCCTTCTGACAAGCAAGAGAACTATTGTTCACCCACCATTCCCACAAAGGGGTATAAATTCACGCCCGGCACTCGTCCGCACTCATTCCAACTTGCACTTAAGATGTTGTGTACATGTAAAAGTTCGATTACATCGATTTATTATCAAACCATAAATGCCTCGTGTCTGCCATCAATCATCTGCGAGTGGGTATTCAATTTATTGAAAATTCACTGAACAATGGCTTCCCAAAAACACCCCTGAAACGCTAGTCACCAACTGAACAAAAGCTTTACTCCAGATCATCTATTTTTCCCACTGGCTTCACGAATATCATGATGTTAATGGCCAAACGCTAGAAGTCGAACTCAAACTGAACTGTCCCAAGTAATGTTCTTCTCAGATCTGGTGCTTTCGTCATGTGCCATTTTTCTATCCAGGCAGTCTCTCCCCACACTACCACCCCCAACATTTTCGCATCAGTAATTTTCGTCCTGCCCTAGAATTTCAATCGATTTGCACGCAGTTGGAGTCATGTGATCTGTCTACGCTGGGTGGCCAACACCTCAAATGCAGTAGGCCCGGTAGTTTCGCTGGTCAACTGCGCACGCACTTGCACGTCACGTATTATTAGCCTGCGCGTGCGTATGCACCAGTCATGATTAGACAGACCCGCTTGTTGGTTGACGCCCACAAAGGAGCAGCGGACGCCCAGTCCAACGACGCATTTATGGTCAAAGTCTGCTATGCTAAAGAATTCCCATTGTCTATTTCGCTCAAGTTAAACTTTGTACGTCCTTATGCCGAAGAAGCTGACAGGCTACTTTAAGGTTAACATTTTCCTTCCAGGGTGCAAATCTGAAGACAAAACACCATTCGAACCTCTCTGTCGAAATATATTCGTTAGTTGGATAATTACCCCTCAATAGGCGCTAGAGTCATGGCACCGAAGGAACGCGTGGAGACTTGACCAATGACCGTGAAGTTTAAAGGCTCGGAAGGTCATGAACAACCAATAGGAACAGCTGTATCATAGCCATGTTAAAAATAATCGTCATTTTAGTTGGACGAGAATCCGTCATCGAATCCAAGTGTCAATCAATACTGATGGACTATTGATTGACTGGCTGACGAGTAGATACACACGCACACAGCGATCTTGAACAGAACAGTGGTCAGGTTCGCTGAATCTGGGCGCTTCACGGGGCCGCTATGCAAGAGCTGGTGTCTTGTACCAAATCGTGTGAAGGCTGAGACCAGAATTCCAGAACAAGCTTATGGAAAAGTCTAGAATACTGACTGATTTGATGACCCATTGTCATCAATAAGATCATAATGAACAAGCCATTGTGGTCAACCCATGGCGCGCCAGGGCTCAAAAGGACGAAGGGTTTCGTGAGATGCCACTATCGACTATTACAGCTACACAATGTTTTTCGGCACAGATTGGTTTTACTAGCAAGCTAAAAACCGGTCAGCTCATGTGTAGTTAAGCCCATACGTGTAGAAGAGAGTTTGAACTCAGCATAATATAGCCAATCCATCTAGGACGATCGATCCATCAGTGGTTCAAAACCAGTCCTCTCTCGTTTCTTTGTAGGATTTGCCCCAAAAAGGAATATTAGTGGAGCTTCAGTCAACGTGCGTTTAGACTCACCAAGCAAACTGCAATTCCCTTCGTTTCCTGGTTCAATAAAGGGTTCGAATGTGTCGCACACGACAAAACGAACCCAGAGCTTCACTCCCGATGTTCTACCCCAGATAGTAGGTCGGCGAACCAATGGAAGTTCACCACCGAATGTGACGATTCTGTCTCGAGGACTTTACCTTCCGGATGGCCGGAAGGAATTGGCTGATTCCGGGGTGGAAGACGTAGGACCGGCAGCAAAGTACCTCTGCAGACTCAAGGATGATAACGGCACTGGAGTTCCCACCTTCCCCTATAGACCCACTTCCTCGCATTCGTCGATTTCCAATTGCTACTCAACTCCTTGGTCCGATCCTCTGAGTCCTACATCCTCGAAAGTGGAAAATCCGCCTGAACCTCTTGAAGCACAGTGTAACTTTCCTCAGTTCACACATCATGCTGAAATGGAACCAAACGAATCGACGCGAATTCCTCCTAACATGGATGTCCTAATGAGAAGTCCCCAATATTTATCTTTGCTGGGTAATTACATTTACCAGAACCCACAATTTATTCCTCAGTTTCTATCGCTCTTGTACCACCAAAATTTCGCGCAATCCCTCGGCATTTCCAAAGAAGAATCACCAACCAATCTGTCCGTGGGAGGTCGATTGTCTAGTTGGAGTAACTCGAATCCAGGAGAAACCAACATTCCTACTGGCAATATGAACGTCACATCTGCATCAGCAGGAATACAATCCAGTTCCGTCGCCAGTTTTTCCATATCCGCTTTGACAAATTCACCAATCACAAGCAAGAAAAGTTGTACAGACAGTAGTCCATCTGCTGAGTTGAACAACGAAGAATCTTCAGAGTCTAACGACGAAAAACCAATGGAGGATGTTGATGATAATGCGCATGTTACAATTGAATAAATAGTCACTCCACCGGTGCTGTGTTTCGCTACTTACGCCGACACATTCCTCTCGTTCTGGGATCATTTGCCCCAGTCAATTCGAGCTTCACGAGCACAGATGCACCAAACCTGTTCCCTTCCTTTTCCCTTGTCTGTGATTTCCTATCAGAGAGTTCCCCTTTTCCCCTTACCTTGTGCACAAAAGGTGAATTTCCCCACTGTACATAGTTCCATGCGATCAGCAGTGAACATACTACTGACGAACGAATAGTTAGTAGATTAACAAACCATGTGCTACTTGTGTTTTTCAACTGTACACATAAAGTTGCGAACAGGCAAATTCGAAATAGATCGGAGATGTTTATTTTGTTCGCATTGTGAATCCCGTTTCTTCCGTTTTCTTCACACCCCTTGATATATGTCTTTGACATGCATAAACTATTGATCAAGTAAAATTTGTGCAAAATTTACAATACATGAGCTATGGTTTTTCAACTAAACGCCGAGCGAACTGGGTGTGTGATTTTGAAATATGAAGTCAGATTAAGTTTCCGGTGACACACAATCAAGTGGTCACATGAACTTCTGGGGGAAAATCAACAAAATGGAAGATGGGAACCGACTTTTTCGACCACTGACAACAAATGCGGTCTTGGAGAGTTGTTTGAACTGTACAAGTCTCTTCAGGAGTCCACCAATTGGTCATTCTGCCCAACCGATCTACCAGCAGATGTACACTACTCATAAGGTTGCTGAAAACTCTTTGAAAGCCCCGATCATTTTGGCCCTCCCACTTTGGGCTCACCAGGTAGGTGGGGTCTCCGAATTTCGTCCTATTTTACTTGAACCCAAGTTGTATAAAGTTTGCGAAATACATACATTCATTTGCGCACCAGTTTGGCTATAACGGGAGACTCATCTGGAACCCCAGCTGGATCTCTCGTTATTGATTTTTTCAAGCAACTGAAGGTACTGCAGATGAGCCACCTCATGTTTCAGTTGGTACGACGTTGCATAGACGCGATGCACTACTCATAAGGTTCCCGAAAACGCTTCAACAGCTGATGACAGGTTTCGCCCCTTTTGAGGCTCATGAGGTAGGTGTATTCCCCTCATTTTCTATTGAACCCGAATTGCACGAAATTAGCGAAGTACACTGATTTGTATACCCGCATTTCTGATTATAAGACATGCATAATCGACGAACATACGACCAGTAATAGTAAGTCAGACGGCCGTAAGCGGCAGTAATGTCTGCTGCGTGGCAAGGTCAGTGTGGGTGAGTATATGGGATGAACTTACGGAACGAACAAAACGGTATACAGGAGGAGCAAAAGACGGAAAGGATCCGCGAGGACCATGAGACTATTGGGGGGAGACGAGAGTGGACCTAAATGAAACAATGTGACCAGTAGGTGCGTACTGTCCCACAAAGCGTCACAGGTGTACCATGTGGCGCGTCACCATGTGCACCGCTTCATCTGAAGAGTGTTCACTAGCCTTCAGATGTAGATAATCTCTTGAAAATTCTTGGATTTCGAAGAGATGTTTGCTCAATATTCCGCGGTGGAAAAACTACTCTTTTTTCAAAACGAAGAATTCACTGGGTGACAACTTTCAGCTGAACCCTCTGACGACTGTTCAAACTGACTACCAATCAAAGTAACCTCTCCCTGGGAGGCGCCTTGCAAAAGACGCATCCATCTTTCCACTTAAACGCATCTGTTTGTTGTGACAGAGTATTCATACTCCAAGGGGTTCATAAAACGTTTATTGAACGGGCTCTGAGGTGTCCCGTGAAACTGTAAGACCGTATGACCTTCGCCGTGACGAACCCTTCATCCGATCCACGCAAACCCATAAAAGTACGTTGGATGTGGTAGTAATAGTGGAATGATTGGGCATACCAATCACATCGCTCAAGTGTGAACACGTTCGCCCGTTCAGACGTGAGAATTTAACCGCATCCAAGGTGCGCTGGTGGAATAGTGGTCGCACATTCGCCTCGCATGTCAGGTGTCCGGAGTTCAAACCCCGGCACGAGCACTGGATACCCAACAAGAGCGAAAACCGAGTTCCCCTCCTTCGTGTAGATTCACCGGAGTAATTGCGCCAGAACAGGAGGACGACTGTTCAAACGAAAGTGATGCGAAGTTGAACAGGAATGATTAAAGATTAGTTTGAGCTGAAAAGTCCGTTCTCCAGACCCTTTGTTAGGCGGTGACCCTTTTGAATTCAGTAGTCTGAGCTTTTTTCTACCTGACCCTGGATTTTTGTGCGTGGGAGCTGCGGTCTTCTTTGTATGATCCTTGCTAAGACCGTGATCTCAAGGACTCGAATTGGTTAATTAGCCCAAACGCACGATCTAGGTGTCCTATCTGACAGGTAAGGTGTAGTCTAATTCAACGACGGACGGTCAGTAATAATTGCGGCGAAACCGAACTCTACGAATTTCACCTGCGTTTGTTCAGTAGTCGCAATTGGGCAGCCAACTGTTGATTGAATTAGACGTGAGCAGACAGTATAGATAGGTAGACCGTGGTTCTATAAGAAATTACCAGTAAATCGTGAGCAGACTTAAAGGAAAGCTTACGGCTAGATTGAACACAGGATGGCACAGAAAGGGCAGTGTGCTATCGGACAAATTAGGCGGGAAAAATGTTTTGCCGTTCAAAGTGGGACAAAATGTCCAACAACAAACCCAGGAATGAGTGTGAACAAATCGATCCAAGAAAACAGTTAATACAGAGTCGAATTTGTATAAAATAGAGTAGTTCGGTCGTGAAACTTGAGCAGTCACCGAAAGGGTAATTAATGAATTAGTCTGAGGATAAGGGAAACGTAAGCAATTACGCCACGTAATTGGCAGAGACCTTGAAAAGAAAGGTCACTTCACCAGCTCCAGTGCTTTTTTATATTGGTGTGTGAAGTACTTGATGTATGACTGAGGAAAAAAGACCAGTCTTCAACCAGGGAGTAGTACATTGGATAGTTTTTGTTCTGGATGACTACCGCGGTAACTCAAAGTCGACTTAGACGGCAAGAATAATGCCGCTTCATTGAGTAGTGCAGTCACGTTTGCGATGTCACTCGAACTGGTTCCAACTTCCCCTCTTTCAGGAAGACACCCCCGTCCAAGGATTGTCCCCCACTGAAAGCCAGTTTCGCCTAAATAATGGATAGATTGTTTTGTTGACCTTACTACTCGACAAAACGAGTGCATGGTTTGTGGATATCCACCGATGATCAGAGAAGGAGCGGAGGGGACTAGATGACTGGGTTGGTGATAGCGGCTACATTGTCCGGGTGAACTTATTTCTGGTTTATCAATATGTTTCAACGCTTCCGTTTGTTCAACTCGGTAAAACAAATTTTCGTACAGTGTGTACAGCCTGATGTATGTGTATTTTCTATAGGTTATTTGTACAAATATCACACAAATACAACGGTTCAAATTTACGCCACTGCAGGATTAGAACAAAATCCAAAAAAAACGCGACGGAGCCGTAGGGTTTGATCAAACAACTTTGAGATAGACCGCATGGATTGTGCGGAAAAGGCGTCCGTGTCGACACAAGGTCGGACTGAGCAGCTGAGTTAAGGCGCGATTGGGTGGGGTGGAGTGATTCAATCATGTGTCGCAAAATAACCCTTAAGGATTCAACAGGATTAACTGTGATTTGTGTGTCAATCATAATCTGACCGAGTGTACAACTTATCGATCGCAGACCACCACTCCTCATTGCAGAAAGACGGTTGCGAAATCGGGTGAGAACGAAGGTTCTAGCATGCCTTTTTCATAAAGGAAACTAATCACAAGGTTGCTGAAAATTCGTCGACAACACACGACCGGTTTCGCTCTTCTTGGGGTTCATCAGGTAGGGGCGCAGTCCCCGAGTTTCCGTCAACCTTATGTTCTACTTGAACCTAAATTGGACTGACTGTTTTCGAGAAATACACTCATTTGCAAATCAGTTTGGTTGTCACGAGAGACTCAACTGAATTTCTCGTTTATGATATTCTACAACTGAAAGTGCTGTACACAGGCTGTCTCATGTTTCAGTTGGCACGATATTCGAGAAATCGCAGTATATTTTCATAAAGGAAACTACTCACAAGGTTGCTGAGAACTCTTCGACATGCGCTCTTTTTTATCATGGGGTGAAAGTGGCCCGGAAGTATACCAAGGGTGGACTAGCGTTATGCAACTCCCTCCTTTAAGGTCTTTAGTTTAGCCAGCTGGTCATCAGATGGTTTGCAAACGAAAGGCTGATATAAACACCCATTCCGGCAGTAGTAATGGAAGACCTTACCTGGGATGAAGTAATGAGCTCCAGGGCCTTTGAAGAGCTGCGTCTCCCAGCCGCACTGTCGTACAAGCGAGGCAAGTTCTCTCTTTTGTCTCAAGATTTCATCGCTGCAGTAATTTTTGTGGCCAGTTTGACGATCCATCTTGTTTCTTCTTATTAGTACAATGTCTAAATGGTTTAAATCGTTGTCCGTCTCTCCGGGAACTCAATCGACGGATGAGTCATCAGTTCAAGAAGAAAGGTCAAATTCGTGAAAGATGTCGTATACATTGACATCTTCCTCATATTCCAGTGCTTGGTCTTGTGTGCAGCCAACGTCGTGGGACTAACCGCTAAGCTGTGATCGAATCGTCCGCCTTACATGAGAATTTTGTCCTTTCTTGGGGAGCAATGGCTCTGGAGGAGAGCCAGTTGTGTAACTGTTAAGCTTGACTTGCTGATGTTGACTGTTCCTCGAACGAGGCAAACCAAGTGTTCTTTGATAACTCTATCTGAATCGCCAAGAGGACGTACACGAAGAAAAAACAAAGTTGTAAAAATAGAGGTCCCACTGATGGGAAAACATACGAAATTTCCTTGATATGGATTGGAAAAAATACTCCGACAGCTAATAACGATTTGGGAGGTGTATCGGTTGTGGGTCAGACCTTAAAGTCAAAAGCTCGAGATGAGAGATCCGAAAGAACCGCCTATTTTCAGACTCAGCAGTAAAAGAGTTTCATCTCTCCGCCGAAGGGGGAGATAACAGCCCGAGAGCATACGGAGTAAGGCATGAAAGTTTAATAATTCCTATGACCACCAGCAAGTGCCTTTGAAGCATCACCGCACTGTTGATTCTTAAAAGTAATTCTACCGTATTGGGCGGTGGCGATCACGGTCAACCGCTGGACAGTCGGAGTGTGCGGGCCTTCAGGACCGACCTTTCTTCACCCTTTCTTCCGAGGACAAAGGCAACACTGCAGATGCTATAACCATGGAGATGCTGGCTGCCTGTGTGTTCTCACTCACATCGCGGCAAACTTCACGTCAAGTCCGCATCGTAATATGAATTCTGGCAGTCAGAGAACTGGCTGCTCTCTGTTGGACTCATGGCTAAACCTTCAGGGAATGGGTGCCAGCCAGTGTAACCCACAGGATCATCACAACACTGAAGCCTGACTATCAAAGTAATGCGGTGTCTTTAGGTTGGGATA